GGTGTAAAAGAAACTTGCAAAGATGAAACAATATAGATACAAACATCTGTATATTAATCCAGAGAGTACAACATTCCACCAAAGGGGAAGGGATATCTAAGCAAAGACAATTTTTTAAAAGATATACGATGAAATGTATTTGATAAGTGAAACTAAATGCAATCATCTGCAAAATGAATCTTACCTGAGCTGCTGAGAGAGAAAGCAGATTTGGAGTTACTGAGTAATGGTATCAGAATGTTGATAGGGACCCACCCTTCTTTGTTTGTGCTCAAGTTCCGCAGATACCTAAAAACACACAATTGCTGTCAAACTGTTGAAAAACTCAACATCTACAAATCAAAACATTATGGCTAAATTCAGAAGCAATATAGCCACCCCGTGTTTAGATATAGATTGTATTTGGAATGTATCTTTATATACCCTCTGAACATTCCAGATTTCCAGCTGTGATCTGAATGCAAGTTAGACTCTCATTCTCTCATCTCAGATAATCTTTTATCTTGTAAATTCTCTCCTGAGGGGTTCTGGATATGATAACAAATATATTAAATGTAAATTTAGTTTGAGAAACAAATGGAAAAACTTATTGGATTTGTGAATTGGATTAATTTCTCAAGACTCTGCTATTTATACTGAATTGTTTTAGTTTGCTCTATACTGTATTGTTGTAACTTTATCAAAGACTGTTCTTATAAGGGGTGTGTGGAAGCAATATTCTAAGCTTCTTCAAGATTTCTTAAATATGGTTACATATCTAGAATAGTGTATACTGAGCAAAATTATATTTCAATATATTTTGTATTAAAATACAATACCAAAGACCATCTGTTCCTTCATGGATTAGCTGAACTAACTCGCCACTGTTCAGGATCAAGCCATTTGAGTTGCCTTTATCATAAGTGGCTACAACAGTATATTTACCAGGAACCTAAATAGAAAAATGAGAAACCACAATTGTTTAATAAGAAATAATCATCTAAGTATTAGAACTGTCACAATAAATAGATTGACATTTGGGACATAACTGAACAGTGGTATCAGTTTAGTTTTTCCATAAAGAAGTTCCCAAAAGCAGTCTTCTAGGTTAAATTAAAGACCATTTAATAACTTTTCAGGATTACAGCTTTCTAATATGTATGTGACATTACATTCATACATCTAAATATTCAGAATATTTAATAAATGTTATAATTATAACTTATAATTATGTTATGTTACTAATAGCTATTTTAGAATTGTTCAAATCTATATATAACTCTTTTCTGTACTGTAATTATAAAAACACAAACATTAATTTTTCCTTAGTGATTACTTGTTGAGTGAGTGGATTAAGACATCTTATCACATTTCTACAATAAAGATGAAAGTTACCAATTTCTTTTCTCCCTTTCCCTCTTCTTCTGCATCTGATGAATTAAGTGGATCTTCTGCACTAGACCAACCATCATTTTCTTCAGAAGCATCAAGAGATTGAGATGTTTTAGACCAACCCGAATACATCAATACATTATTATTAGAAGACATTTGAGGTTCTCTCTATCTCTCTCCCTGGCCCCTTTCTCTCAACATAAACCTACAGATACACATATAGTTTTAGTATAAAAATACAGAATCCATTTGGAACTAGGAATGACAAAACAAAATGAATTCAAATATGGCTAGTCTTCTTTTTTTCCTGCTATTAGTCTTACATTCCCTGAATTTTGGTTTTAAACATGAATAATGTTACATTAAATTATACAGAAATATTTAATGATACTACCATAATGTTTAATATTTTATATTACAAAATAAGGAACTCATTCAATACTGGCAAAAGTATGCTTCCAACAAACAAATGATAACCCCTGCATTTAATTTCAAGTCTTTCACTTCCAGAATAAGTAACTACTACAGAACAGAAATATACATTTTCTTTATTTAACAGTACAGTTCCAAACAACTGCACATATCATCTCATGTATCTTTCGATATTGGTTTACTAGTCTGTCTTCCTGTCCTACTTTATTTATCACATGCAAGAAAATAAACATATAGCTGCAAGAATATAATTAGAAAATGTTTAGCTGCTCATGATGACACTTAGTTTCTATTGAATAAAATACAGGGGCTGCATTTGGTAGGATGGTTCAGGGAGAATTTGAATGTATTTTCCTTAATAGCTAAGTTTATTCAAGTACATTTAGTACATCCTGATTATTAGAACAATTTCTTTAATGGAAAATGTCTGGAAATGTCAAACAAAGGAAACATAGGAGAGATATTTGTGTCTGAGAAATTTTTTTTTCTGAGATTTTTGCAGTCTGTAACTACCAGATCCTGAAGACATATAAACTTAGTCAATCACAGATTGCCAGTATGGTGCAGAGGTCAATGGGTTGCACCGCAGCTAGAAGTACTTCAGTTTATATTGGACATTATATTGGTCACCTGAATCAAATTAGATCTGATACAGGGACAGAGGACTGAAAACTCCACCATCTTTATTTTATTGAAAGAAAAGCTGGCTGGAGAGAAATGTAGGACAAAAGAAATTATTTCTCTTCTATAGCTCTACTCTAAATCACATGCTCATTCAGCTGCCATTAGTCATAGAGGACCTAAAGAGATACATACCTTAGTAGAGGTGGTCCTTAGTTAGCAATGGCATCATTTAGTGACCATTCCAAGTTAACTAACATTATGACCAATACTCACATTTATGAGAACTGTAAAACCGAAGTAAGATCATAAGGATAGTCATGGTTTCACTTAGTGACTGCTTTGCTTAACAACCAAGTTGCAACTGCTAAGCAAGGATTTTCTGTGTGTCTTATTTTTCTTCTCTGCACTAATAGCATTTCGAGCAAGGAACAAATTCCCAATAGTGAACTGATAAAGGTTTCCTATCTTTAATTTAGCCCTCTCCTTTCATCTTTTCTGAAAGAACAAGATGTTAGAAGTTACAATTATGGAATACATTTAGATTGCTGGTCATTATGATTTTGTCATAATGGTAAATGGAAAACCCTCTGATTACATCCTGACATCTTCAGAAACAGAAACATGCAGATCCACACAACAAACAGAAATTCTAAAAAGAACTAAAAAGGAAGCTTTATTAAATAAATAAATTTATTAAATAAATTATTCAATGAAGAATTAAAAGGCGACAATCCTATCTACCAAATCCTACCATGACTAAATCAAGCAAGCAACCTGTGTTTGAGAGCAGGTCTGTTGTGTCTCAAGTGGGCAAGGAAAGAAAGCCACAACAAACCACACCATGCAGAAAGTTCAGCGATCTAGGCCCAAGAAAAAAATATGTTACCTTGCCTGCCTTGGGCTGTTAGTAAAAGGTAAGTAGCGCTGACCCACTTTGCCCTGTTCCACGTTAACACAGACTTTGCATCTGTGAAAGAACTGAATAATAAATATCCCTCTTTCATCACGCTGTAGCTATATTACTTCTATTATTGGAGGCTATATTTAACCTGTTCATAATTTAAATGGATGCCCATAAGCAGTTTGTTTTGCATAGCCGTACCCATATAGAGATAAGGTTTTTCATATTCCATGTAGATTCTGTATAATTTGTGGGAATGTAAGGCTTAATAATATTTAAAAGAGTAAGTGCAATGCAATAAATGGAAATGCAAGGAACCAGAGTATTTAACGAGTAACTTGATTTCTGATACATAGTGACCCCTAATGAGTACTATAAGAATTGGGATGAGATATATACTCTAGGATCTTCCTTATATTATATCCTTATATCAACAGGGCTTTCTTCTTTTTCCTTTCACTGATGCCAGCTGCTTGCTTGCCAGGAAGAGAGTTGATGAATAAACAACCAAGAGCAACCAGCAGCAAGTTTTCTTCTTCCTCCTCAGTTACTTTTACCTTCAGAATGGATACAGAAAACTCAAACTCTTTTTGTTATTTACCAGACAACTTGATTTTTGGAGTTCAAACCTGGCGGCCCTAGTAAGGGACAACAGTAGCCACAGGGTTACAGTTGTGAGACTCCTGCCAGGTCAAAACATGCTAATCTTTTATGCTGCCTATATTTCAGATATGAGACTCATGTTTTACACTAGCAATTTTCAATAATTTCCAAATGAGAGTTGCAGATAGGTAGATCAGACAAAGGGAGGTTTCATTTTATTAATCTAGGTCTTCCTCATAATTTATTTTATTTATTTTATACATATTTTATGAGTTTATTTTATCATGGATACAAATTATTATGCTTGCTATACTCTGCTATACAACTATTATGCTTGCTATACGAATTATTATGGTTCCTATACTCTAAGTGATCTCATCCATTCCCTTTATCCAGTGTCATCTTCTATCACTGTCACCTCGGCTTGCAGAATGTAATCACATCTTTTATTCTATCATCTGCCCACATTATCTGCTCACAGCAGAACTGCTTGAACTTCAGTTGAATGGATTATTCGATATGTTGACTCAGCCTTTCATCCTTCCAAGGTTGGTAAAATAAGTTGGGGGCAATATGCTGATTCTTAAACTGCTTAGAATGGGCTATAAAGCACTCTGAGTGGTATACTGTAGAAGTCTAAGTCTTATTGCTACTTCCAGATTTCAAGGCTGATTGATCAGTTCTTCTGCAGCCTTTAGATCTGTAGTAATAATCAGATCCATTATTTCTACAAAAGTTTCTCGATGTTCATCTTTTACAGGCACAAATTAACACTGGAAATACCTGTGATTTAATTATACGGATTGGTATTGCCATCAACATAGACTTATCATTAATAAACTTGCCTAAGTTTTTCCCCACTTTTCTTCCCTAAGATTAATCTGTTCTTTTATCTCTTGAGCACACTGTCTATCCTTATTCCTGATTTAAAGAAAATTGAACTGTTGACCAATTTCACTATCAAATATAAGTTGACTAAGTAGTTCCTATGGGAGTCTAACAGTTCAATTATTCAAAGAATTGAGAAACATAGCTATTGCACGGCACAGACTTTTTTGGTATTCTAGATTAATAAATGTAATTCTACTCTTTCCTCAAACAAAAAGGAGATGGGTAACTATTTTAGAGTAGTTGTTAAACCAGACTAAGGACAGCAATGGATCAAGCTAAGCCCACATATTTTGAAACCTGAAAGTCAAATTTCATAGAGGTATTAATCTCTATACATTTTAATGTTTTATAACATTTACCAAGATTTTACATCATAATATAATAAAGTACCAGATCATTTTTTGTTTCATACCACAATTTTTCCAATTGGTTCCATGGAAAGCTTTTGAATTTACCTTTGCTTTTTTCAAGATTCTTTGATGCTACTGAACTGACAGAACCATCTGGACTGTCTGCATTTCTCATTTCTTGTTTTCTCAAGTGCCTTCCCTCATTTTTTGAAGGGCTATACATGGAAGAAAGTGAAAGTTGTCATTTATAGTTATTGCAATAGCGTTACATGCATGAATGGTTTATATCACACTAAGATCTTTAAAACAAACTTCAGAGGATGGGATTTTTTTTAAAGGAACCCCACAAATAAATGAAAATAATGACTTATTGTGCATTAGAATATTAAACCACACTGGAAACCTGGTTTTAGGAAACCATGCATAAACCTGAGTCCACAGTCTATTTCTTTGGAAAGTGTCTAAGGCAGGGGTCGCCAACCTTTTGGACCTCAGGGACCACCAAACTGATAATTTTAAATCCCAGGGACCACTAACTGGTTCTGTGGGTGTGGCCTAATTTGCGGGTGTGGCTTGATGGTCATGTGACTGGCTGGGCATGGCTTGTATCATGAAGTGTTATACGTTATGATTCTTGATTCTTAATGAATGTATCTTTTCTATTATGTATACTGAGAGTATTTAAACCAAGACAAATTCCTTGTGTGTCCAATCACACTTGGCCAATAAAGTATTCTATTCTATTCTATTCTATTCTATTCTATTCTATTCTATTCTACTCTTTTCTATGTAAATATTATAAATATTTATATCAATATTGAATTTTTTTATTAAAAAGAGCAACTTTTACCCAAAATCAAGCAAAGAAGGCAGGCAGATTGACTTGCTCACAGAATCACAGATTCATTCAGAGATCTATCTATCTGCCATTGGCTAGCTCAGTCTGTCATGTAAAATTTACTAGCAAGCAAACTCACAAAATTAACTCATAACACACCATGTATGTAAATATTGAATTTTTTTATATAAAAAAGAGCAACTTTTACCCCAAATCAGGCAAAGCAGGAAGGCAGATTGAGTTGCTCACAGAATCATTCAGTGTTCCATCTATCTGCCATTGGCTAGCCCAGTCTCTCAAATTGGCTTGCCGTGAGTCTGCACTGAATAATAGAATCTTCAGTCCTAAGGGAGATTTGGCTGTGCTTAAAAACAAAGCCTAAGATCTAAAGACTAGCTAGAAAGCAAGAAATCAAACCATTTCCTGCTTCCTAGCTAATCTAAATCTCCAGGCACAGCAGAACAGATGATGGTTGGAAAAAGGAAAAATAGCAACTTAGCACACAAGTTTGCCGGATAAGGAGTGAGTGGGTGGGGAGGGTTCCTGCGGGCCATGTGGGCAGCATGGCCTTGTGTTTCTGCTCAGCCTGGATTAATTGCTTTGGGGGCTGCTCTGGGGTTGAGATTTCTCTGCGGCCCACCAAAATTTTCTCATGGTGCACCAATGGGCTGCGGCCCACTGGTTGGTGACCGCTGCTCTAAGGTATATTTAAATACTGTACAGAAGTTAAGAATTTAAATCCCTAACTTGGCCCATGACACTTGAAATCCAAAGCATCAATTGTTTCAGAGTTTTAAAAAGTAATCTTTGAGGTAGAGAATGACTCACCTGGTGTTAGCTGAGAGAGACAAAGGTAAACTCTGAGTATGTTCAACAGCTTTATGCTGGCTAGCTTCTGTGAGTGACAAAGAGAGAGAGAGAAGGAAAGTATATGTCATTGACAAGCTTAAGCTTTGGAGAGAACATTAAAGTTCATTCATGTTTAGAGAAACATGAATGAAGGTAAACTATTGTTCAAACAGGGAACTATTTTATCTGCAGTCCAAATACCTTCATAAATGTATACAATTTTTTTACATTACATTGTACTGGGTATGGATAGAATTCTCACAGAAATAATAGGGTTTTAACAAGAGTAACTGCAATTTACGGTAACTTGCTCATGGCAATCACTTCTAGCTCAAAATATATACTTTGCCATCTCTGCTTATCTTTGCCTTTTCTTTACTGGAGCAGGGAAATGTAAAAAAAAAAGCCCTTGCATCCCTAGCCCAAGCAGACAGATAAGTGTTTTGGGATGTGAAGGAAAAAAACATGATATACCTTCCCTTCCCACATTTTCTACAAGAAAAACTATGAGGGTGCAACTAGAAATGGAAGGGTGTTGGGTGTCCTACTTCAAATAATGACTGCCATTTCAAGGAAGAAGAGCTAGTTTTGTTCCCCTCCTAAGAAATTTGTTTCTGTTTAGAAAAATAAACACATTTTTTTACTTTATGATGATATTTTACACCTAAATATTAGATATCTGGGAGATTGATGAGAAAGACTTAACTTACGCCTGCAAGCCTGTAATTGGCTGGTCAATACTTTTCTAATTTCATTTACCCAGGTAGCTTTGATTTCAGGAGTTGCAGCCTATGTCAAAAAGAAAAAAAATCCCAGAAATTTAATTCATTTGTCCTTCTTCAGGCAGCCAGTCAAAAAGAGAATTTCAGCAGATAATGTTAGAATTGTGTCAAAACTGGCAAGCATTGTGACAAAGTCTTACCCCTTTGTATGTGTGTGCAATATTTATAAGTATCCCCTTGTATATTTACGCAAAAGGAGAGTGTTTAGATTGGGATATCAGAGTTGCCATCTTGTCTCTTGTGACCTCCACTGGGGTGCTATTGTTTCATTGTCACAAAATACAAGTAACTCTTTCTTCCTTCTGTTTTCCAACCATTTCCCCCCCAAAAGTTCTGGAGAAAAGACCCATAACGGGGACATTATTGCTGCATAAATTATGTTAATTATATTCTTATATTTGTAATTAGACTATTGTTTTCCTGTTTTTATTAGCTTTCTTGAGCCTCATAGTTGGTAGAAGTGGGAAATAAACTGATCAAATAAATAAGGAGCCTTTTCAACAAGGAGCATTTAAAGAAAATATTTTACCTGTATTATGTAAACTTCTTCCCTTGCATTATACCAGATTTCAAATTTTTTAATATCACCTTTTACATTTTCTGTTATTCCAACTGCAGTCATCTAGAAAACAAAATAAATTTAAAGCAATATTCAAGTAGATAATCTTGTCAAATAATATTCACACAAATTTATTTGATTAAATATATTTCTAATTTAAATACATTATATATACTTGTGTGTGTATATATATAAATAAGCAGACTTGCTTTTTGGGGTTAACCCTAATCTATTAGTAAAATATCAAGATTCTCTTTCATTTCCCCAATAAAGTAATAATAGGGCAGTTGGGTTCCAAATATTTGGGACTAGCCAAATATTAGGGACTAACGAAATCAGGGGTCTCCAACCTTGGCAACTTTAAGGCTTGTGGACTTCAACTCCCAGAGTTCCTCAGCCAGCTTTGTTGGCTGAGGAACTCTGGGAGTTGAAGTCCACAAGCCTTAAAGTTGCCAAGGTTGGAGACCCCTGAACTAGATAACTCATGTCCATTGGGTCATCCTTTCAGATATATTTCCTTACCAAAACGGAGAATGTAAGTACAAATCTGTCACCGTGTTCCTGTCAGCAGCCATGATCCCCATCAACTTTCTCCCTATAAGCTTCTCAGGCTTCCCCGTTGACTGGTGGGAAAGTGTCAGGGAATGTTGTAAATGAGGATCATGTAACCATGGCAGCAGAGCAGTGGCACTGAACAGCAGCTCTGAACAGCAGTTGTGCTGACACGGCAAGAACTTTACAAAATTTCATTGCTATGGGAATAATGGGTCCTCCTCACATTCTAGGAGTTAACTCCTTTGAGGTACCTTAGTTGAAATGGTTTTCCCCTATGATGCACTGTTTATCCCAGTTAAAGGTTACGTGTGGGTGGGTGTTTGTGTTTGTGTGTGTACATATACATATACACATGCATACATACACACACAAAGTGTAACATTTTACTACAGTCCTTTACCTGCTAGTTTGCAGTAGTCCCCTTCAACTCCAAGTCTTAACCAAAATAAAATTTGACTGGATCCTCCAGACTATGTGGCGGAATCTTTTCTCAGAAAAGTGAAATACGTAGATGTTTCCATTTACAGAAATATGTGTAGGCAACGAGGGGATAGATCTGGAGGTTGAGGCCTAGACTAGGTTGGAATTACTACCAGTAGTAGCAACTGTGATGTTTTTTCCCCCTTTCCTTCAGATATTTGTTACTTAAAACTCACCAGATAGCTCTAGATGCCTTTCTGGTTGCCCTGAAATTCATGAAAGTCACTGATGTTGATATTGATGAAGTCCAGTGCATTTTGGCTAATCTCATTTACATGGTAAGTGTTGGCATTCATAACATGGCATGGATAAAAACATTTGCTGTGTTGTAGGCTTACCATACCATAACATTAATATCTACTTTTATCTAAAGTGAACATACTCTGTATATTCATAAGCACAAAAGGACAAATGGTTACTCAATGGAACAATGGACAATGGAATTGGACAAGTTTTTTTAATCTATTATATATTTCTCCAGCATTGCATTAATGGTGTATTATTAATCACTAGCTTATAGTCAGAGGAATATTGCCAGCTGCTCCGGGTTCTGTGTTAGGGTGAGAGTACGTCAGCCTTTTTCAGCCATGTGCCTTTGGGTTTCATTATCCCAAAATTGTCAGCCAGTTTAATCAGGGCCAAGCTGGCAGATAATTCAGCAATTCATGGTTTTGGTAAGGCAACGGATTCAGGGAAAATAGACATTCATAGTATCAGCAGCAACGATGTATGAAAAGGACTATATAATACAATGTTGATTCAAGAAAAGGGATTCCTTTACACCTGCTTGATACCCTTTAGTGCACCTTTCCAGGTCTGGTGCCTTCCAATTGTGTTGAATTTTAGCTACCCAAATACTTATCTAGCATGTTGAAAGATCATCTTGATTTGGAATTCTGGAATTTACATATATAAATACATGTGTTTATATTTTGGTAATCTGGAGGATGTCAAGTTGACTTAGAAGTTGACTTAGGAGGTAATTTGGGCATATGTTGGAAGTAATGGAATAATTTTAATTGCTGGTTTGTGAGTTGAGGATCCATTTTGGGATTATCTTTCTCCTGAAATACTTGAGCAAAAGAAGATAATCAGGGTTTTTTGGGCTGAAGTAATGAGATTATTCAAGACCAGGAAAAGGAGCAGTAATTTAGAATATGTCTTAACT